TCCTAAAACGAATGTTTAATCATTGATAATTCAATGTATCTTAAAATAAATTATTTAACCCAAAATAGTGAGAAAAACACAAACAGAAGCGAACGAATTTCGTTTGATAATTATGAGCTTAAACAATTTATACTCATCACATAAAAGACTAAGGTTTCGCTTCAATAATGTACGAAACTTAATTAAAATTTTATAATTTGCGTATCATGATAACATTTATATAGCCTTTATATTAGAAAGAGGTGTTAGGAGCTGAGCTCTTAAGGCGCTATGTGTAAATGAAAAACAAACAGAAAATTCCATACAGTCAGCCTCCTTTTGTAAAATTATTTGAATAAAATATGACTGTTAACAAATTTTGACTGACGTTTAACTCGTTTAAAATTCCTACATATTTCACATACTTCGTGTTGCATGTATTTCGCCAAGATTTTTGATATATGTAATTTAAGTAAACTTTGTTTTTCTTCACAAAAATTTCTGTATAATTAATTACTGTTATATTGCTTTAAAACTATGAAGTATTTCGCACCACAGTAATAATTTGATTTTCTTGCGAAAATACTTTTTAAAACAGTTTTAAACTCTTTTCTTCACTTATTAGTGTTTTAATATTGTTATCAACGCCGAAAAACGGACTAATATATTTTATAGAAGTTTTATTACATTCCGTTACTGAAATAAAAATATAATATACTAGTTTTTTCCTTAGAATTTGGCACAGATATATATTTATTTAGTATGTTAAAACATCTTAAGTCTGCGACAAGTGACTTCATACGCAATACAACTGTTACAATACGATCCTTCATTATAAATAATTTCATTAGAATTCGCTTAGAATCTGTTTCGTGATAGAAATACAAATATCCATACGTAGTCACTTTTCGCATTTACTTATTAGTAAGTAAGTAAGAGTGAGATTTGTTTACCAAGTTACTGAATTCCATAATTATATTTTTTATTCTTTTTATATATATTTCAAAGTCAAAGGTATGTTATAATCCCCTGATCGATTTAAATTTAAATAGTTTTATTTCAAGAATAAAAACTATTTGCCTGATGCCTGTGAGATAATATTTCTTTCTGTAATATGTAACTGTAAAAGAATTTCTTCCAATAAATTGAAATATAAACCAATACGACCCTAGAAATCCTTTACGACAAACGTTAAACATTAGACCTTGAGTTAACTGCTTACATTAATTGAGGATATCAAATAATATTCAAACATTTATAATGGGATAAAACGGTTGACGATTATTATCCTTATATACTCAATGTACGTAGTAGGCGATATATGTTGTAGACCTACTTAAATTCCCAAAAGTAAAATTAAAGTGACTTGGCGGTTTTATACTTACCATATGTACTCGTATAACTAAACTGATGACATTGTAATATTAGAATCGTGTTCGTTGGCTGTATACATGTGTTTAAAAATCCCAGTTCCTCTTTGAATACATTCAAAATTTGCGCCCTAAGTTCCGTATATACGAAAGTTTACATAATTATATTATTGTTAGAAGATCATTCGCAAGTATATAAAATAACAAAACATTGAATTCCGTGAGTTTTTCGCCCACGCCGTAGCATCGCCCACTCCTATATTCGATATTACTGTTATTACTGTGACTATTTTTAAAAAGGTAAGTTTGTATATTCATATTCATAATAGATACCTTACCTCTATATTCTTTAGAGAGTAACTTATAAGAATATACTAGATGTAATTTGATTGTTTTAACTTCTTTATTATAAACAAATAAATTGGAAAATGATTATATTAATTAAAATACAGAAAAATCATATAGGGTCTTACCGTCCTCCCACATTCCCACAATGACACTGTCAAAGCCGCAGGGCTAACAGTAATATAATAACAAAGAAAGAAAAATCATGACAGCTTATGAAAAAGACAAATTAAAGCGTTTTCAATCACAAAATACATGAAAGCGAATTTCCTCTTACTTCAGGTTTTATTTTCTTCGCCTTTTTTGTTAATCTTTATTCATAGACGACTGGTTTCAAGAAATCTCTGCTTAATCGGAGTTGAAAACAAGTTGAACTAGATGCAGCGTCTCGAAGAAACGAGCGTCTAATGTTTTCTAAATAACTTTCAGAGAAAACTTGAGAATCAACGAGTTGAGTATATGTATAATGTCAATTATGTCAAAAATTACAATTTGTTTATAGTATAAGCAAAATTTTTTTTCTTGACCCCACTATCAAACATCCAAAAATACGGAAGCAGCTAATTAATACGATATTAAGGTATGATATACCTAAAGCATTTTAAATTTATTTATTCTATAAAGCTAAACAAATATTTCGTAATTGTATAAATAATAATCAAGTTCCCTTTCATAATTTCGTCCTTTTTATTGACTTAAATAGAAATATACCAATTTCAAAAGAATAACATACAAGAGTTAAATTTAAGTAACTCCCGAATTCGTTTTGATAATATTGGGTTAAGTAGAAGCTCAGTCATGTAAAATATCGCATCTACTCCATTAGGTGCCATTCGTTCGAGAAATTTCCATTACCTATAAACTGTAATGCGTGTGTTATATCACTTCTCAACCTGAACATGATAATAATCTCAAAACCTATTGAGTTGGAAAATTACTCATGAAGTCACCAGTAGGATTATTCCCACCGGTTCCCAGGTTCATTATAACAAATATGAACTGATAGTATTCTTTTTGAATCGTTGATTTCAAAGTAGTTTTATCTATTTGTACGAAGTGCGGCAGTAGTAAAGCTGATGTATCAAGTATCTTCAAATCTTAGAGAACTACTTTTTGAAAACAGGTAATTAAAATATAAAAGGTACGTTAACATTATGTACAAGAATAGAAATGTATTGAAACACAAGATATATGTTGCAAATCCATAGCATTTATATACACATTTAGGAAATTGGTAGGATAAGTTTTAGATGTAGACTTATTAATGGTTATATTGAATTATTTGATGAAGGAAAAAGTCAAGAGACCTAATATTAGACCCCATTCTTCCTTTCATATTTTCTGCTTCCATTCATTAATCAAGGTACCTATCAAATCAAATCAAATCAAGGTACCTATTCGTATCGCCAAAAGCTTCACTACCGTGTTTACTTAACTGATTTTCTTATTCAAAACAATTTGGGATATAAGTAAATGATTTAATAACCTAAAGCAATAAATGAAAAAGTATTTAAAAATGAATTCTTTTAATTTATGTTCCATATTTATCATTAACAGTTACATACATAAAATTGGTGAAGCAAGACATCACTCTATCTTAATAGTTCTACAAATTTAAAACTATTTATATACAAGTATAAAATTCACTACATGTATCACTTCACTGATAACGTCACCAATCGTCGTTCTTCGTGTAATACCCAAATATATAGTGGAGTAAATATTTACTACAATAAAATAATATAAAATATTACAATACCAATGAAGACTTTCCTATAGTATATATATTAAATTAAGTCTTCGCAATATGCAGATATATTTTATCTATTTAAAACATCTTTAGAGCTTAAGTTTTGAATTCGTATTGTTATAAATAATAAATACTCAACTATAAATATGGGTTTAACTTATATAAGAAAATCTAACATTTGAAAATTTTTCGTCCCCGTATATGAAATCATCGAAATACCCTGAAATGAAATACAGAAATTAATTTTTAAATCAACTATGCATATAGGTTTATACTAAATTAATACTTTTTATCGTTGCTTTTAACTTTGCAATGAAAAAAATGTAGAAAGAATACGTTAAAAATTATTAAAAGCTGAAATGAACTACGTTTCATACTTTGGTAACTTTAGTTTACAAACTATGTATTTTACAAAATGGCGGTGGCATCGGACACGGTCAGTAGTGCTCATAAGTCGATGCCTCGAGGGATCAATTTATCACGGTGAATATAAAACTCTAACTCTTGAACACGAGCTGATGTCAAAAAAAACAAAGTTTTAAACCTATTTTTCATCGTGAAACATATTTTACTATGTAGCAACTTGCAGGTAATATTACGGCACCTAAGTTCTATAAAGTGCTCTATAGATTTTGTAGCGTCAATAGATTTTCTAAAAAACTATTTTTTAAATCGAAGTATAATAATAATCTTTTCGATGCACATTCTCATTATAAATACTTAAACAGAGAAGATTCCAAATGAATGTTAAAGGAACAAAAGAAATTCTCTGTAACATTTATATTGCAAATACGGTACATTTTCTTGCTTTGAGAATACAGCTTTCGCATCCACATAAGATATGCACGAAACTTGAAAGAGAAACAGTTTCTCACCAGTGCTTGAACAGTAAATAGTTTAGAAGCATCAAGACGACGTGAGATGTAGGACGTGTACCTGGAACAAACAGGGTGCTTTAAGAAACCACTTTGATTCATTAGAATACAATTCGCAACTGTACTGTTTACTTACTTATTACTGTTTTAAATTTGAAACATGAAAAATACAAATTAGTTGTTTATAGTTTTCAATGTTTCAGTCACGATAGGAAATAAATAATGCTATCAGTTTGGAAACACGATGTTAATTATAATAATGTTTTGATAATTAAATATGTTAAAGGCGGAGGCAGATGCGAAGTGCAGACTCGTCGAAAATTTATGATAGATTAGAGAAATTAATTAATCAGCGGGAGTAATCCTACACACCGATAGAATTTTACAACCTCGGTATATCGCTTACGTGGCGGAACAAAATTCCCTTACATAATGTTATTGGCTACAGAAAAGATGAGTGAGCATTTTCTTGTTTTTGATTTCCATTTATAGTACTAATAAATATATAAATTCATAAAAGATTGATGAAATTATTATAACGTAAACAGAAAACCGATTGTGTTTGTTTAAAAATTGTTGTATTTTCTTTTAGTAACATTGACTTTAACAAAAGGCGATTTTTTTGTGATGTTTATGTTTCCGTCGAAAGTTTTTCAAGAATAAAGTAATGAATCTTCCAGTCTATAACAATATAAAGGTTATTTTGTTTCTTCTTTTAGTACTAAGTTGCTTAACAATTTTTAAGACATTTATAACTTTTAAATGAAAAACCCTCGTGCTATGTAAAAACAACTCATGATCTGATAAAAGTTATTTATACATTCTGAATGCTTAAATACTATCGTCACTGTTAATAAATCTTACCTAGGGATCAGTATCTTCTCAGTTTAATTGCTTAATAATTTTCACTCACCATCATTAGTGTCCCGACTTCCCATTACTGGCGCTATTTGAGGTCGCTCTTCGTCTAACAAGATTGCGCCACTCGCTGACCATACAGAAAGAATCCGAGCCACACAAGTAACATTTAAATGGCCCTGAAAATTATACTATTCATTTAATCGTAATAAATTTTCAAAAACCGACATTTAAAAATTCGAATTTTGTATCTTAAAATCGTTCTTAATTTTTCTAAAAAAGTCTTACAAGATACTTTAAAGTAATTTTATTTTAACAAAGCTTGTTTTTATCGAAACTCGATGAAGAACATAAATTTAGGAAAACATCATTTAGATTTTAGATCAGATTATTTTGAGACTACATTATATATAATCGTTCAAAAACAACATAAATTTGAAATCTTGATAATATCACTGAGTCAAACTCAATAATTTAATACGACGGGGATTTTAAGTCCTTTGGATCGGAAATTATAGTCTAAGATTAAGATGTGCTAGTTTTGTTATCAAATTTAATATTTGACAAAACCATGTCGTATTATTTATTTTAAATTCACACTTATACTATTGGTTTGTACAACATTTGATTAATAAACATATTTTTGTGCAAAAATAAGCTTTAAAATAAAATAAGAGTTCTTGTTTTTGTATGTACCAAGTTTAAAGAAGCTTATACCTTATAAAAATGTGACGTTTGAACTCGCATAACAAGTTGACTGAAGGAGGAAGACTTATTAGATTTCTCTTCTTCCATGCTAATGTTTCTTGTTGGAAATAGTTCAAGTCGAGGCACGAGTTTAGTTGTGCTTTCAGACTTCTTTTTATAGTTTGCATTAAGCACGCCATCCATGTCTGGAATGTCTATTATTTCAGTCGCTGTTTCTTCGTAACCGGGGAGTGTATCCCATGGGCTGAATATTATTCTATTTGCGTTTTCTAGCGATGCGTCGCTTATCTGCTGTCGTGCTGGATAATTCTCGTGAGGTGGAATATCAAGTCCTTTTACCTTGAAATATATTTAGGTGGCTTAGTTTCACTAAAATAAGGGTTCAATAAATCCAACATGACCATTTTCTACCTCATATCCATTAATTAGCCAAGTCAGGTTTGCCGGCGGGTCGGAGGGTGGAGACGTACAATTGGCACGTAGCATATCGCCCACAGAGTACCAACTTTTTTGCGCTCGAACTAACGGACCTGACTCGGGCAATTCTGTAATATTTTCTTTTCTTAATATTTCTAGGCATCTAAAAGAATTTATAATACATTTTCGAGAATTAAATAAATATGAAACACTTATAATATGATGTATTATTTACAATAAAGTTATTTAATATAGTCCAATGCCACTTTACTGGCTTTTCTTTTATTTAATTATAATCATCATTAACGGTGTAAAACTATTATTATATAGCTTTTGTCAATCAAATGGCAATGAAATGGCAAACATATCCGTTAAATACCAAAACTTCACTCTAGATCAGAATATTCGCTGGAGGGAATAATTAAAATACAAAATAACCATACTATATTTACTATTATACTATTATCATTCATAAAATAAATATTATATCAATCCGGGTAAGTTTAAATAAACAGTAGCCGCTTTATCTATAAGTGCGAAAGCGAGCAATGCATATTCATCTTCCAAACGTTTATTTCATTTTAACGTGGGCTTGCAGAAATTGAAGCTAAAGCGCGGAGTATGGAGTCTAGATATATAGCACAGCTTTGTTTGCTAACAGAACCCCCTTTTACAGCGAGCGAAACGGCAAAACTCCTCGTCGAGTAAAGTTTTAAGTGTTTACATTGGTGTTCCGTTGTCGCTTTTTACAAATTCCATTTAACGGTAACGCGGTAGAATAAACGTTGTTGCGTGACTAAATTACCTTTAAGTATTTATGTCATACGAAAACATCCATTGTTTATTTCTTGTCTAATTAATTTTGTTTATAAATTTTTTTATTTAAAAAACATTGCATTTTTTTGAAATAGATTTCACCATTGAAAAATGTAATTTTACAAAGTGAACCTCTACATACAAAATAAATTAATGCAAAATATTTGTATAAACAATCGTTATCGCACTGTTTAATTGTTTGTCTTGCAGGGATTTATTCTTTCATGGAAATATATACTCGTATGTACTGAATAAATATTTTTATCTGACCTTTTCAAACCTTTACTTAGTACGAGGATTCAGCGTTTAAAAATTTTTGGTAGAATATGTATTAAAAATTTTACTTGGCTTATTTGACTTGAACTTTAAAATGCTGTAACTCTAAAAGTAAATGTATAGTGAAGTTGAAATAGTTATCAAATTTTTAAGTTATTCTAAACTTATACATAGGTACTTCACTATTATATTATGTTTACCAAACTGTACTTAAGCTTCACGAAGAGCTCATTATTAAATTTAGTTGTTTAAAACTGAGAACTCGTTATCGCATTAAAATTTTATGATATAAATGTATGCAAAATAAGCTTATGAAGATACTTATCTTTATAATTTAAAGTTATAACACAATATGTCGATAAAAAGAAAGATTATTAAATAACTTTTGACGGTTCGTATAGTTGATTATGTGCTCCCAAATGATGTGAGACTCGAAGATTCCTTCTTAAATATGTTTTATTCTCTGTGTTACAGAAGATAATCTGAAGGTGTACTCAACATAGTGCGTCATTGTGAACTTATTTTTGACATTTTTGTTGTATAGTACCATAATATCATCCGCATCACCGGGATAGATTTAGCTATTACATTTTACGTGTGACTGCGAGTTAAAATGCATTCAGCTGATATATTTAAAATATCGTTCCTTCCGAGAAATAAATTGTATTTATTACTTTTTTTACATAAATTATTAAAATATACAAATGCATACACACAGACCCACACACACAACGAATAGTCTTGCTAATTAATTTTGTAATCCATGATTAATTAATATTTAAGTTACGTTAATATTTATACTTTTACTTTAACCATGTAATCCTGTATTAGTTTTATTATTATTTGGTTATATTTTATCATGTCATTATTATAAGCACTGTATGATTATCGAAATAAATAAATAAAATTAAGAGAAAGTGTTAGGTTACCCGAAAATGGAAAATTTATCGGTTGGAATTCTCATAAAACTGTCATACAGATACACATATGTGCTTTAAAACTAAAATCAAACAACACTTCATAATCAATAGGTAAATTTTATGTTGCCTCCTTCACACTTTTTTAATTTTTTCATAATTAATAAAATGTTTTTATTGAAGTACGTAATTTATATTTCAATTCACTACTTTACACAAAATAATAAATGAAAGATCATCCGTTCAAGTATGCTGGTTTATGAACATTCAATTAAGTAAAATTTTATGAAACATTAAAATTTCAATAGTTTAATTTTTAATAAAGCCTGCCTGTTTTTGTTTGAATTGTATAACGTCAATGTAGTTTATAATTTTGCAATAATACTATTCAATAGTAACAATAAATTAAACACGATAAACCTTAATCAAACATACCCTGCGCTCCACATTTATTGCTCAACAATAGTTATGATTTACGATTTAGATTTCTACCGTAGAGAATTATTCCTATTATTTATACCTGCAACCGTTAATCGGAGATGTTATCAACCGGTTTAATATCATTATTAAGAGAAAAGGTAATATTCTAATGTCAATATATACAAATCAAAAAAGAATCTTTCTGAATTGTTATGAATTGAAAGATTAATTACACCGTATATAAATGAATTTATAACATGATTTTTATTGTATATTGATAATATAAAAGAATGATACATCTAATTAATACATTTTTATATAACATGTTTATTATAATCGTCGAATTATAGATCACTCCAATAATGGAAATAGCGTTTATAAATTTTTCATAAATTACGTCGTAAAAAAAAACTATTTTAATAAACTCCAAATTGCAATATCAGCTATTAATATACTTTATTTACATTTTTAATGTGGTCAATGGGTGTTTTACGTTTAATTTGCATTTATTCGAAAACTGTGTGGAGGAATTTATCCGTATAAATATGTATATACGAGAAGCATAAGAATACACGTTTAATAAAATACAATGAATTGAATTTTGCTCCAAATGATGTCCCTGATTGCTTTCATCTAAATAGAAATAAAGTTTATAGTATATAACTTAGCAGAACATCTACAATAAATACATTATTGTAACTTACCAACAACTCGCATAAATGCACTTTTATAGACAGTGTGGAAGAAAGGAGCGTCCGCAGAAACTTCACAACGATATCTTCCACTAAGACTTCGTGTTGCACCACCCAGCACGACTTGGTGAGCACCAGATTGAGATACCTGATAAAGAATCGTTAACACAGTACTTCTTTTAGTATTTTTCTGAAAATTAAATAAATGTTGTTTTTAATTTACTACACTAGTACATATTCTTCCGATACTCCATTTCATTTTCTATTCCTTACACAATTTTAATGGAATATTTATTATACACAATTAAAAATCAAAGTAACTAGCAGCCCGCCCCGATTCGCAAGGGTATGAAACAAACATTTTAAAAGATATAATTTTTTACATACACACATACTCATTCGCATACATACTTTCGGACCTTTTTACTTACGGACCTTCAAAAAATAGTAAAATGAAAAAATTATTATTTAAAATTATATTGTTTTTTTTTTTGTATTATTTTCTAAAGCTTAGTTGTTAATTTTTGTCAAAAGGTCCCTATTATGTACTTTACTTTCTCTGCTCTTGAAAATCAATTCATAGATTCAGAGTTGATTCAGAAATCTACAGCAAATACAAAAGTAATCCCAGAAATGAGAGGAGAGGAGTTTTTAGATCTTTAAAGGTCTGTCTACGTCCTCTATACGTGTTCTTGGTGAATTCACCCTTAATGATGAATGTGGCGTCTGGCAAAATTTTACCAATAGGTCATTTTTGTAGATAGATAGAATATACGGGTTGTTTCTGAAGATCTACGGACAACGGAAGTCTAACAGTTGAATGAGCAGATTTGCCACCCTTTACAAGAGTTGCAGCAATCTTCCCTGATTGTCTTAATTAAGCAAGTATTAAATTTGCATGAAACTTAAATTCTGTCAATTTTTTTTAATCCATATAACGACGTCATTTGAGAAAGGCTTTTGTACCTATGTATGTTATTCAAAAAATGTGCTGACTATCTATTATTATTATTATTTGTCAATATTTTTTAATTTTCTGTGGCGGCTCCTGTATTTTGGGAAATTTGACAGCCCATTTTTAAGCAGAACACTTAGACCAGATCTTATTTATGGTATCAATTTGGAAGGAAGACTGTTGAGCATAATCAATCTGTGGATCGTATCTAAAAGCCGATCTGTTACTATAACCTAAAACTTGATTACGACCTCTTGTTGTTGATGTCCGTTGTCTATCTCTCTTATTAGAAAGTCATTAGAAAAGCTCAGACCTCGATTCTCTAGTGCGGGATTGTATATTTCTAATTTGTGCTCTTCAAACTCCTTGATGCGCTCCATACTTAGCTATTGAGCGCGCGCTTGGATGGTTCTGAATTTCTTGTTCTTGTCTTTAAACTATGTTGAGAAATCCTCTACGAAAGCTCAATACTCTACTCTATTTGGCACTTGATTGCGATTGGTGTTCTTTACGCCTTACAAGACGAGTTTGAATTTCTGATGAAGATTCTCCATCAAGAGTACCCTTGAGGCACTCACTATTTCTAGAAAGTTGAGATCTAGATCTTTTGGGCATTTTAAAGAAAAAAAAATATATAAACTACCTTTGTTCGATTTTTGTCATAAATTATAAGCTATAAAAATGTAATGAAAAAAGTTATAAGAACTATTAGAGCCGCTAAGTTGTAAGGATAGTTTAAAGTTATATCATTTTGTGGAAAAAAAGTGTTTAGTTATGTTGATTATGTATTCTAGCAGAATTTCTTTGATTCCACACATAACCGCTACATAAGGAGCTGACCACGCGGAGGCGATCGGCACTTTATTATTTGGTATTAACTCCCCTCCCATTTACAGTTACATATTATGGTGTCGTGTAACCTAACGGTGTAAGCGGTGACAATAAGAAAGTTTTCAAACACCTCATATTTTTAAACTCGTGACATATGTCGAATGTAATATCCAAATTGAATAATTCATAAAGTTATACATATATAATAGTATCGAAGCAGATTTAAATAAGAAATCATTTATATTGATTAAAAAATTTAAAGGTTTCAATAAAAAGCTTTTGTTACCGTGTCATTTACATTTAAATTTTTAAATTAAAAACATATATTGTGACATAACTTTGATAGTTAGTTATAAACTGTCGTGATACTTTTTATAGATAATTACTCATATATGTTCTACAAAGTCGTAGTACATACATTATTTTGTTTTATAATTAATGTTTTTTGCGGCACACGCGATGTAAAAATGATTTTTGGTATTTTTTTCACCCATCGGTTTACATTATTAATGTTTTAGTATAGGTCACTAACTTTTTTTTCAAATTTTACATAGCTTCTGTTTACCGGAGATAGTGTAGCTACCAAATAGTAAAGAATTTTTCAAAACGGTCAAACAATGAAAGGCTTCGTTTTTGCGTTTATTGGAAAATACCCCTAGAGAATGTAGAAATGTGAATTACAATCTATAGACAGACGAGAATGTTATAAGAATAAATCACGTAATAAGCGAAAAAGTATCGAACACATACATAATGTAAAAAAAGAAGTAAATGTAAATGTAAATTTTGGGGCATCTGCATTTGAAATAAAGGTAGGCCACATAATTGTTTTCTTAGATTAATTTAATTCTCTTTAGTTATTTTCAATCTTAAATCATTTTTTTTATCCACCTACTTACAAAGTTCTGCATGAGAGGAATGGTTGGTTTATTTTGTGCAATTATAAGGTTCATAATCGGAACATATGAGGTGGACTCTTTGTACTAGTAAAAAAAATCATATGTAATAATAATTATAAGTAACAGAATATAAGTAGAAAGTCATTTTGTTTGGAAAACCTATTTTGAAAGCATGTAATGGAAAATTTCTTTCATCTTTTAACGTTAAATATAAATATAATTATTTTCTCATTACATTAATTAAAACAAGATTTTACTCGGTTTTCTGACAATTTGTTTAACTGTCAAAATTTACGCATCAGTAAATATGTATATTATCTTGTTTGTCCTGCCATTGTCAAGTCACTTACGTCTTCTTAGTCACACTGCTCACATACAGTAGATGTCTGCATTAACCTCACGCTATAGAATCGTTACAATTAACAAAGGTTTATAATAATAATTACCATATTTTATATAGACTATAATTTTCATATAGAATCTTTTATTCCTTCGAAATAATCAATGGAGGTAAAAACGTAACTCATTGAAATGCTTCAGTTGTAATACATACACTGCGAGACTATTTTTAGTAGTTTATAAAATTAGTTTTACTTTATTATTTTATGTGTTAATTCTCATTATATATATATATTTATATCGTATACAATATTACCTAAAGGACTTCGTATATATAAATTTTTGATTTTGTGCACCTTTTTTGCAGAATATTTCACGTTAATTTAAAAAGAATAAATAAATATGGAGTTGAAATATTATTCTGTAACACTTTAATAGTAAGGAAATAGGAGCGTCTATTGTTATGAGTATTATTTATTCTTCCTAAGGATCAATATGAAATAGCTGCAAGGCATGTCGCATTCCAAGTTAAACATGAATACTACTTCTACTGCAAGCAAGCCATATAACTGTCGCCGGGGTTGTTAGTATTATTATTAAATATAAAAAAAATGTACTAATATAATATTATATTTTTAAAATTAAGATAATTAAACCTTAAAAAGAATCGCTATCAATTCCTTAAAATCATGTTTAAGCTTTAAATAAAATATATTTTTTATGTCTTTATATTTAATTTCGATAATTTTGTCCTTAACTCAAAAGCTTTTCAATAAAAGTAGAACTATTTAATCGTATGTTAAAAACTGATAAATGGCTTTATACTTTTAAATTTATGGTATCAATTGTAATTTATTTGTGATATGAATAAATGTTACTGCATCATTACTGGTAGTTTAAATATGAATTTAAAAAACGTGTAACGAGTTACCACGCGATGAGCGTTCTTGAATTTTTCTATTCTTGAAATTAATTTAAATTTTATTTATGTTTCAATCTAAATTCATCTCCATTCATCTAATTTTCAAGCAAATATATAACCAAGACAACATCAACAAAAAGAAAAACCATATTTTAGTATCGATGTACTATACTATATTTGATCACTATTTCTGCAAATCGGAAATAAATCGTCTCATAAATCAAGGATGGCGACAACTATTATGAAAGTAGACGTTAGTCTGTACTTTAGCGTACGCAGCTGGAGTTAAATTGTACTAAAAGCTTTCATCCATCTTATGTGGTGAGTTGGCCCACTTGAAGCTTCTAAAGCAATCTGAGCCATCCTTACGAGAATATTCTAGTCAGATTTTTGAAACCAAATAGCAGAGCATTCTGAGACATGCCTGTTTTGAATTTCATTCAATCTAAAATATATATTTTTTGTAGATTATTCTAAGAAATGGGTTTAAATATACTCTGGCATGATTTTATTTTGGGTCCCTATTATGGCAATGTGCCAAAGGCTAAAGGTTTAACGTGCCCGCCGCTCCGTGAGATTTTTAAGTGATTTTTTGCACCGTGCTCGCTGAAGGCAGTTTAACGAACTAGCAAGATGTCGCTAAACCATTGACCCATATGTAATCACAGTTATGGCGTTGTTTATCACCACTGGGTAAGTTAACTATTCGACTAAGAAATTTCATCTGGTGAATTTATGTCGCAGTTTACGTAAAGTTGCTATGTAATAAATTGCAAACTGTGAGAGGTATTTTATAAGATACTAAAAGCTCTTACGTAAATTATATCTACACAAAGATAAGCGCATTTGTATTAAAGCATCTTTCCACGACTTTACTCGCTGTAAATTCAATTGAAACCCACAATTTTGACTTTTTGTACCTTTTTAAGCATACTTGTAAAATTTACCTTTACTTATCATGATATTCACCATTAAAGAGATTATTAAAACCACTTCACAAGTAAATGTTTGCTTAAAAATCCTTAGAAACATTTATATGAATACTTTAAATGGCGTGTTATGAATATTTATAATGGGAAGTATTTGATATGGCATTTTAAATACTATAATTACTATATTGAGCTGGTATAAAATATGATTAGATGTACCATTTCAATTATATTTACTGTGGGCAACAGAATATATAATTTTGATAACTGCGATCTACGAATTCTAAATAAAGCTTACATCAACGCTTATTCCAGTTTGTGAAAAAACTCTGGTATTAGGTAGTTCCTTTGGGACGAATCGGAAGAACTCCTGAGCACCATGATACCATTTGACAGTGTATAGGGCTTCTCCAGTATCAAGAGCCCATCTACAGCCAAGAGTAGCGCTGGATCCGATGCCCACAGCTTCTGGCACACTAAGCTGTATATCTCGAAGCCCGAACACACCTGTAATTAGGAGTACGTCAATTCCTTGTCCATTGTTACAAACTCTTATACTAAGTTATATTGTAAAGTATGATTTCGTAAACTTTAAATGTACATAAAAAATTTGGTTTGCGTAAATGTTAATATGCTTATATATTTTAAAGAGAGTAACTAAAGTGGTTTATGCCAGTTCAGATATGACTAACTCGTATTTTAAACTTCTTAGGCGTTTTATTGATGTGTAAAACAAAACGCTATAGTTAAAAATTAGCAGAGAGAAATATTAATAACACTTATATTAAAAAAATATGTAATATGAAAAATGTATTCGAACTTCGTTTCAATATATGAGACTTGGACAGAACTGAATATGTACGGAATTCTGAAAATTACACCAAACAAAAATGAAGATTTAAATTGAGTATATACTTGTTCATAATCTTAACCCAGATAAGCCTGAAACTAAAATTTTCTGAAAATTTTGAAAAACGTTACATTATTTAGTTTATTAGATCTTATGCAACATAAAAAAAAATATGAAAAAAAAATTAAGTGTAAGGCTTTCAGGGAAATAGCCGTCCTATATGTAGGACAGTAGGATAATAAGAGGAAATAAAAGACCATTTATGACAAAACAGAATGTAATCAAAAAGTGTAGTTTATTAGATAACTATTGATTATATTACCCATTGTTATATGTAATTTACTAGATTAACACTATTTATAAATGATATGTTTCAAAACACTTGACACACACTCCAACATCACATTTCTTGCAACGTGTCAAACATTTTTTGTGACATTGACGACAGCGTGTTTGCTTCGATTGAGGAATAACCAGATGATTCATTTGGTCTTTACGACTATCAACATGTTCATGATGAGAGGGAGGTTTACCTTTTATGTGCTGTTTGCAGCCATGTCTACCATAGTAGGGGATCATGACCTCATCTACACTGTAATGCTCCTCAAGAGGAGAAAACTCTAAGAACTTTTTATTTAGAAGTGTAACTAGGGGGCGTACTTTTGTGTATTTGTCTTGCAAATCCAGATTATCATTGATATGAAGGTGGCGAAAAATAAAGTCAAATCTATCCCTAGTCATAGTCGAGCTGATCAATTCATTCTTTGTATCAGGGGAGCTTTCCCAATACATTCTTCTACTGGGGAGCCATGAATAACCACTAACCAACAATATACCGATGAAACATTTTATATCTTCAGTGGTTATGTCTCCAGACAAATTCTTTTTGACAGCATATTTATTGCCCTCTGACACCAACAACGAAATAACATCGTCATCTAAGAAGTTTTCAAACCACTCAATTGGGCGCTTATCTTGGCAAGCGCCTTGAACATCTGGCCAATTCACGGGATTTTTTGCTAAGTCCCGTAGAATCAGAAGGTTCTTCTTCTGTATCACTCACCATAATCTGCCCTTGAATCATTACTTCAGCCGGTTGAAGCAGAATGTTTCGTGGCAAATTATTCAAAGTTACATTATCTTCTTCACCCGAATCTTCGTCAGTGAGACAGTCAGGATCAAAAGGAGGAGGTAGAATACATATCAGTCGTTCTCTATAATATTCTTCATTATCAGAAACATTTTTTAAAACATCTAAAATTTCATGCGCAGCTAACGGTCTGTAAAGAAAAAGTTGTATTATTGTACTAAAATCATGTATATTATCCTACTGTCCTATATATAGTACGCTAGTATTTGTAACAAGTTATACGTAATTTATTTATATTATTTTTCTAGAATATTTATTTAGTACAAAAGTTAAGGTTATCAACTAGATATTAACACAGAAAAAAACAACTCACGAGTAAAATATAACTTTTTATATATACCTGTCATTTGCCATGTCTGCAACGCACTTTTATTACACACTTATGAGGTAAAATATAGGGTAAAAACTGTTAAAATAACTGTCTTTTTATTTTTTCTAATAAAGCTGACACGTTTCTTACTGCAAATCATAAGACTAAATAATCTTAGATACAGAGGATATTCTGATATTTTTTTTTATTTCTACTGTCCTAAATATAGGACAGTAGGCTTATCTGGGTTAATAACAATTTTTTTACATTTATTTTCTTGTTCATTACTGGCGACACATCAGTTACTTCTCACTGCATACAAGTAAAACTACAACAAAAAATAATGTTTCTATTTATATTTTTTTTTTAAATGTGGAATATATTGTATGACAAACGTAGTAGAAAAAATAATAATATAATATCCCTACCGAAATCATCTATTTAAACTTTTCTATGTAATCAAAAGAAAAGTTATACTTTAAGACTATTTTACAACCGTCATTAATATTCTAAAGTCCGAACTCTAATATTAAAACCGAAGACAGTTAATTAACTACAAAATCAACGGCTTCGACTCAGAAGAATAAATAATCCTAATATAACAATCCTAGGCTATTTATTCATTAAAGTCGTTTACTAGTCGACAGTGTATCAAATACTTTATTATAATGGCTACAATAGTGCACACTTTCTGTTATACTTCTACTAAAAAAGAAATATCAAAGTATTCTCTATTATTTCTTTATATATTTATGTTTTCATAAATTTTATATAAAAGGGCCGTAATTTTGATATATAAACTACAGTTATGTTATTTTCTTGGCCGTAATAAGTTTTGTTTCAAAGCACTTTTCTAGGTATTTCTGTGGGCGATCCGATAACGGTTCAGTGGTCAAAATCAAAACAAAGTAAATAATCAAATCTTGGGGTAAAGCTAAAGTAATACATCAATCAGTTGGAATACATAAATCAAGCGAAATTTCCGTTATCGAATTAAATCTCAACCTAAAACCTCAATGTACACAGGTAAACAAATTCAATTTATTATACAGATCTTAATATCTAATAATATGTAGCTAACATGTAAACACACATATCAGAAAAGTTCGTAACAAATAACAAAGAACCTCTCATATTTCTATACAATTGGTATATGAAAAAAATATTTAGATGACAAATATATTGTTATGGTTTTACGAAAACAGTTTAGTTTTTATTTTTCAATATAGGTAAAAGGGAATTAGGAATAATACAATTTAGTTTTAAGGTGTGGAAGCCCCATAGAAATAGAAGCCTTTCAACATTTAATGTTTATGATATCTCACAAACAAATACTTCGTTAGGTTTTTTTTTTAAGGTTTTTTTTTATTTATAAATAAAAAAATATAATATTTAGACTCCATAGCATTATATACATTATTAATAAGATGTTTTACTAAAACTTTATTTTAATTTATTTCACTACAAGTTTGTATTTTTGAATATAAAAATATATAATGTTTTTTCTTATTACCGTAGTAATGTTGTTAAAAATATTTAAATAAATAATTTAGAGCGTAGGCTGAAGAAACGTTTTTAAACAATCTGGTATAATAGCGTATTGCTCTTAAAAACATGCAGAATTTTTTATATGGGAAAATTTCCTATCATTCCCTTGGAATTTATCATTTTCAAATCTTTTCAAATATTTTTTATAATCACTAAATAAAAATGAAACTAAAATAAAGTCATTAAAGTAAGTAAAAAACTTTTTCACGAAAGTATTACATTTATTGAAAGTATAGATATTTTCCTAGAAGGGGAACCCTTGTCCTAACTATAATACTAAATGACATCTACATTTCTTTTTATGTCACAAACTTTCGCATTCAATTTGATCACATTGCCAACCCTTCCGCTATAAATCTCCAACAAAAAATAATTCCATGCGAACGGCCTTCCGGTAGTGTCAACAATTGTAATGTGGCTACCTAATTTCTAAATATATTTTCTTTAAGTCAGCCATAAATGTCAAGAAGTAATATAATTTAGAAACTTTTGCCGGTCTCGATTTAGGAGTCACCGTCAGCCATCGTATATTGGAACCATTCCTATGTATAATAAATGAAGGGTATTGCGTGTTCCGAACCAATAATTTTGCCGTTGCCAGGTTGAGATACGAATAAGATTGGCACTTTACAGAAATTTTAGGTACTGAGAGCCCTCGGGGTACACCGATAATCAGCTTTACTTAAGGGATTGGGTTCGAAACTCGATTGTATCAGAGTGATTTTAATAATTCATTGGCAACATAGAGTTGGATTTCAATAAAACCACTCATCTTAATACATTTTACACTTTCAGAATCACCAACAAATTATTAAAATCTATTCACGTTCCAATAGAAATAATAAAGACACTCACGTTTTTAAAGAAAGGAAATAAAAGATCCCAAAGAAAAGGAAAAAGGAAAAATATAAATCACTAGTTTACTTTCGATTGGCATTTTTTAATAACTTTAACATAGTATCGTATAAAATATTCATAAATCGATACAAGATTGAATCTTATCTCTTATATTATTCTTCCGCTTCCACATTACTAGCGATGTATCATAAAATATTGAAAATAACTTCTTTCGATTTGACAGTTTTATTTAATGTGGTTGAACTGAATTAATTGTTTGTAACTATTTTAATGACATAAAGATAAGAATAATACGGAACGTATTTTAATGATGCAAGATAGACATCTTAATGTACTAACTTCCAAGCCTTAATGCCCAATAAATTTTCCTCCAAATGTTATATCCATCTAATATAAAGTTTACTTACATCCACCAAACCACAACAATATGGCGGCAAGTCGTGAAGCCATGTTTGACAAACTCCCCCACATCAAGTCGCTAGCATCCCGTTACTTCCACGACACTTTCTTATAAGCAGCTTCATTTTGAAGCGCCTTCAAATATTGGATTCCGTCTTGTCATCCTTCAAATGAGTTCGGGTTATACATGCTCACAGTTACGTAACAGATTTTAGGAGACCATGGTACTGCAAAGAAAGAAATATCATTATCATTCCTATATTTTTATCAATATAAGAGCATTAAATATTTGCTTCGTTATTGTGTTTAATAAAAGAATATTGACAATTATAAATAAATAGTAAAGAAAAATTGCAAGGTCAGGATTTTTGAACGATTATGTACGATTAAGTGTAGAATAGGTTACTCGAACAAGAGAAAAACATAAAAGTAGAAAATGTTTAAATAAACGATATGTTACAAAATGACTTCTAGATAGTTTTCAGCAAGAAATTTCACTCTGCAGGTCCAAACTCCTTACTGCATGCATCTTATATGTAACGGCATCTTTCCTAACAACCTGGTCTTTGTAAAGGTTAGCTTGCTAAACCTAAGTATATTCCCACCATACCAATCTATTACTTAAGTAAAAGCAGCACATGTATCCTGAAAGATAAAATCTAAATTGGGGGATGAGAAAAACGTCTGCGATCTTTTTGCGAATTTATTTTAAAATATTTAGTACTTCTTCTCATAAATATATATTTATTGACATGCCCGAAATAAAAGCAAGATGCGGATTTAAGCGCTTTGCATTCGGTCATTCCTGAGAGTATGCAAAGAACGTGGTCTCAATTCAGACAGTGAAATAGTTCAGTGGAACTCAAGTCTTGTGCTTTAGAATTTATTTTTATAAAATAAAATATCTTTTTATTTTAAAGTTAGTAAAGAATTAGTATTAAATAAACGTAGATTTTACGATGTTTTTATCGACGGTATGGGTACCGTATATATGATGTTTATACATATTGGTATTATGAATATCCACGTATTCGAAGTCTCCAATTAATAAGAAAATGTTTTTAGCTGACCAACCCAAAAAGATAATCACATCAAGGCTAAATATGATCTCAATTATATGTTAATTAATTATTATAGAAAATAGTTGCAAATTGGTTTGTAGATTAATTTATTAATGAACTTTAAATACATTATAACATTAACAAACTTTATATCTTATAGTTCTAGAATCTATAATAAAGTCACTACGATTTGATCGACTCAATCTAAACTAAGGATTATGTCATTCTCTTATTGTACACAACACACACACCCAGATACATAATCTAGTATTGAATGCGTATAAATTGTAATATACATAAAACATCAGTTGCAATCGAATAAAAGTACGTGGATTTATTTTCTTTTCAATGATAAATATTATGGGGACTGAACAGAGCTGAATTATTTCTTTACAAATAATTCGATAATATTTTTACTTTTTTTTATTACAAAACAATTTAAATTGTTTCAAAATGGATGACACCTCATAGTATCGATGAGATAATAGAATATAATGGAAGTTCATTTAATTAAATTCAATTACTATTGTGACAGTAATTTGAAATATTTTATATTTCTTGTATATTTCATTATTTTCACATAATAAATCCATTATATCTAAACTTTTAGTAAATAAAAAGATTACTACCGATATATACGGCTTAAATCTGATAATATACTTTTATTGAAATTGTTGCTCACACTCAAATTACTTTTTATCAAAATTGAAAAGTTAAAAACAATTAAATTATTCACAGTAACAAAAACCGCGTATCCTTTTGTAAAACGTATTGTAGACATCGGTGATTTATCAGCCCAGGAGACGCTCCATTCACAATGTGCGTCCCGTTACCAGGAGATCGATTGACACCGAATGAAATACATTCTCGAATTGAATAGCTCGCCCCACTGTAATGTTTCAACGGAGCGACACTTTTTCAAGGGACTAATAGCTTTACGCGTTGGCCCCCGACTTTCAATAAATGGTTACTTGCTTCGCTTACCTCGAACGGCTAATGTATCCATTCCACGTTTCTTTCTAATTCAATGTTTAGTGGATTTACGGCAGGCGTTATTTCATCTGTTTGAAGATTAAAGGTACTTTTTCTGGTATCCCATTTATATTCTTTATTAATTTAAGAGTAGAAAAAACATTTTGTCTTTTTCTAACTGTAACGTTATTATCATTTCTAAGGAAAAACGTTACATTTAAAATGTTATTTTCCTCAAGAAAACGACAAAACGTTTCTCAAGTTCATTCGATTTACTCAATCTATTTCACCAACAACTACGTACCTGAGATTGCTCGATTTTAACTTAACCTACCCTAAACGAATTTACATACAGATTCAATAAAGTACGAAAAGACGAGATTCAGGTGGCGCGTATTATGTTTATCAGTTACAAAGGTTTATGAGAACAAAGCAAATAAATCATTATTAGAACGACCTATTGTTAGAATTTTACTTGACTAATTGCAACTTTTAAAACTTAGCAATACTTCAAATTAACACAGCAACATTATTTTTCCGATAACAAAGAATGAAAGGTGTGTGATATATTTACAAACGACGTAATACTTTATTAAGAACTCCTTATAATAAGTTTCTCTCAAATTACACTATATACTTAATGTGTATTGTTATTGAACAGAAGAAAATATTATCACAAAATTTATTTGATTAAAATTAAACTTCGTTATTATTTATAAAATATTGAATGATACAAAGTTATAAATCTTTTCAATGTGACAATAAGATAATCCAGGTAAGAATATTACCTAATCCCAAAGATCAAGAATAGTATCAGTATAAACTAGGGTACGCCGGCCGGTACTATCGAGCTTTTCAGGATTAAATAATTTCGATTGCCACAAATAACTATACCGTAGGAGCAATTAAACCTTTCAGTAAGACCTTAACCTGTACACAGTATCAAAGCAATAAATATGAACCTTCCAATAAATATATACCATCCATGTTGTTATATCTGATTAACTAACATACGTGCTGTAGCTATTACAAGGTGTTCAGTTGGAATATAATAAAAGGGTATGATAAATTACAATATTAGCAGCACTTTCATAATAATCAAACATTGCCAACAAACGCCAACTAAATTTGCAAGTTTCTATGAATCCTCCATATTCTTGTAATGCTATCATCTAAGTGTTCCAAACTTTCGCTATTGCCATCTCGGGACGTGCTCCGAACGATTGTGGATATACTTCGTCTTCTCAGCTTTTACAACTGCTAATACAGTTCGCCGTAAAAGGTACTATTTTATGTGGTTAATTTACATTTTGAAGATTTTTAGCGCTACTCTTTTCTTTTTTTCATATTTACCGATATGGTTATATATGTCAATTACCCTTGTTTTATAATAACAATAATAATGACATAAGAAAAAAATTGGCAATTAAAAAAAACATCGATGAAATTTACGAATATTAAGTATTCGCTTAATGTATGTACCTACAGTAACTTTATTAGAACAGTTATAATTTTAAAATTTACGAAAATGGTGAAGGAACAACTACATATTGTATTATATATCCGTTTAAAGTGAATATTTAAATTATTTTTTTTTCAAATTCTAAATATATGTATGAACTGAATATTTGTCACGTTAAGGGAGGGGTTTCGTAAAATATTTTGTCAGGCTAATGATGTCATGTCATGAAAGAGGCTAAGCATACTGATTAAAGTAATATTGTGTCTTTCTTTACCTGAGTATCAAAGTTGTTTTATTTAAATATTATCAGTCAACTGTGGTCCAAAAAACGCTTGTCACTACTACATATTTATGAAAAGTGTAATAATAAATAGTAGATCTTTTACGTTCATGAAGATAAATGATATAGCATCTCTGCTTCTACAATCTGTCACTCCTAGATCACGATGGATAAAAAGAGTTGGTTATTAATAAATTGATATATATACTCTATAAGAAATTATGATTATAGAAATATTTTAAACAAAACACAAACATCTAAATTAAGTGCAATGTTCTAGACGAACTCTTATTCATGACTTACTGAAAAGTTTATAAGGAATTATTTAATGACATGTAATATCTTTAATGATTAAGGTAAAATCTATATTGGCTCATCTTCATACAGAACTAATAGATATCTTTTTTACTTAACCTGACATTTCAATTACTTTCCGAGTCCTTATTTCCGGGAAAACGAAATTAAGAGCCATCATTTTGTCTTGTTATATGACATCTGTCGCCAAAGAGTTCCTAATTTTCCATTATTGTTCCGTTTTCACGCTGAAGGACTAACTACTTATGTATAGATATGTATATGATGAGGTTATCCCAAATTTCATTACTTTTTATATCTTAGTATTTTTATATATTGTTTTCATTACATTTGTTTTTCATTCCTCTTTGAATGAGATAAAACTACGTTTTGTAGTTATAAATTTTGTAATAAATATTTCCCTAACTTAATCAGATACAACGATACGTTTAAATATTCCATGGCACTTATTTCAAAAATCACGCTGAGCAAAAATTTGCTAAAGGATTAAAATAATGTATTCATTTATGCAATAAAATTACTTACGGATATTCCCGTAGCGTGAAGAACTATTATCAGTTTTGTTCTAAAAGATATTGCTTGGAAATAAATAAAAATTGTGAACATTGGTCAGTAATATTGAGTTAAATACATTCGTTTTAAGTAATTTTGTTCTGAATACCAACAAATTTCACCTCATAACTCATTAATTTTAATATTAAAAATAGATTTAATTTTCTCCGTGTACATCATTTTCGTACACAAGATTATGCTATAAACCTTTAAATTTCTTTGATATAAAACACCTTTCAATATATAATTGCGAGTTATTACGGGCAATTTTCTAAGACTTTCATAAAGTCAAACAGAAAATAGAATGACAGCGTGGCTATACGTTGTAACACTTTTATTATGGAGTTATAAAAACACAAACACATATTTCAATTATATAATACGTTTCAAAAGTATACTATAATTATATTTTGTTTAATGTACCACTTAA